ATCACCTGTCGTGCAAAGGAAGGAGGGAATGAGATGAGACGTGTAGATGATGAGGTCCTAGGAATATTGCCTTGGAACTTATCTAGCTGGCTCTAATGTTGGTTTTATCACTGGGCATTTATCGGTCAATTGGGGGTGCCCATACAAAACTTTTATGTGTATGGGCATTAGGCCTATATGGATATCTGTGTACTATGTATGTGCAGTATCTGTAGAGGCCAGAAGAGGGCGCTGGATCCATTGGGATGAGAATTAGAGATGGTTGTGAGCTGTGATGCAGGTACTAGGAATCAACCTGTGTCCTTTGTAAAAGCAGCCTGTACTCTTCACTGCTGAACCATCAACAAAACATTATTTTTATCAGTCTAAAGAGAATGACCATAACCTGTAGGACCACTGGTTTCAGAGCTCCAGGCTCTGCTATCATTTGTGGTACCAAGTTGTAGTTAGAGAAGGCAGAACTGCAAAGATCTTAATAACACCCAAAGATGATTTTACAAACGAAGTACCTGAGGCCCAGAGCTAGAATGAAAATGCTGGCATTTTCCTATTTTTGGTCTGTTGTCATTATGACTTCTGAACCATTTCAGTGTTCAACAGAGCCAGGAGAGCACTCCCATCCCATCTCTGTTGGAACCATGTATGAAGGATGTGGAAAATGCTATTTGTTTTTCCTCTCAGTGTTTTATGGACTGTTTCTTTTGTGTCTTAGCAGAATGCCCATCATAGAGTGAATGAATAAATGCCATTAATTACAAACTCCTTAAGCAAGGGACTTCAGTCCAGCTCATCTCTATAAATACATTCTCTCAACTGCTGTGATGACAACCAACCCTTCCAAGGACAGCCCAACATTTTCATTGCCTTATCCTCTCCATGCATCTGTGTCTCCCTGGGAATTTGGATGGAAGTGTTAATTCACCAGACTTCTGTCAGAAGGGCATGATGACTCACTTGTCTTGACAGTACAGTCTCTCTAGTTAGAAATATGCAGAGACTAAAAAGCAGAACTTCCAACAAGGCCTGGTATTTGAGTTGGTTTTCACCACAACATCCCTCTCATCATTGTTCCAACAGGAGTCCAGCTGTGGTCAGGCATGGGGAATGATGAACTCGAGGTGGTGGTGGTGGTGGTGGTGGTGGTGGTGGTGGTGGTGGTGGTGGTGATGATGATGGTGGTAGTGGGGTAAACTCTGCCTCAAGTGCCTCTCCTTTGCCAACGATTGCTTTTGGATTTGTCCCAAGACCCAGTTCTGGACAATGGTACTATAAAGAACTTGATTTAGATGAGAAAGCATCTCTCTCCATGTCAGGGATACAAGTGTTTTGTGGTGGGAATGATGGCTACAACAGCTATCTTAAAATCAGGAGAGCAAGAGCAGTGAAATAGTTGCCCAGAGTAATCCTATATCACGGACCTGCAACCACTACCTGAGTTTCCTACCATCATACTTCTTGTTTTGTGAGACATGTGTTAGTCAGTTTCATCACGGGTATGCACAAATACCTACAGAAACAATATAAATAAGGGAAGATTTATTTTGATTGATTTTTAGAGAGTTCACCTTTTGCTTGGCCCTGTGTACTAGGTCAGAACATCATGGTAGCAGAATTGGATGGTAGAGGGTCTTCTTCACCCTCTACCATACCCAATAGAACCTCCAAAGTCATTGTCCCAATGATCCACCTCCTTCAGCTGTAGTGCACCTCCTAAAATCTCCACCATATTCTCACTATCATTTCAGAAGAAGTTCTCAATACTTAACACTGTGGGGACATTAAATATTCAAATTATAATAGATAACAGCTTCCAGGTTTTAAAATTTATGTGTAGGGGCTGGAGAGATGGTTAAGAGCACTGGCTGCTCTTCCAGAGGATCTGGGTTATATTCTCAGAACCCATATGTGAGCTTACAATGATCTGTTAATTCCAGTTCCAAATCTCCCTCTTCTGACCTCAGTGTGAACAAGGCATGTGGTGCACAAACAGGAGGGCAAACCACCCATATACATAAGAAGTGTGTGTGTGAGTGTGTATGTGTGTGTGTGAGAGAGAAAGTGTTGTGTGCACTTCTATGAGTTTATGTGTACTATATATGAGGAGGGGACAGAAGAGGGTGTCAGATTCCCAGGAGCGAGAGTTACAGGTAGTTGCCAGCTGTTTGTGTGCTGGGAACAGAAACCAAGTTCTCTGCAAGAGCAGAAAGCACTCTTTACTGAACCATCCCTCCATTTCTGAGAATTTCCACTTTAATACACCTGTTTTGGGATGCTACTTACAGTCAAAGTCATCCCAATGGATGACATCCTAGTGAAGATAAGGAACAAAGAGCAAAAGCTACTTCCCATGCCCAGATCCCAGCCATTGTGGGCCAGTGGTAAATGCATAGGTAACCAAAAGCTGGTCTTACGTTGTAGGAGGCCACTTGTTTGTTCCTGGCTGCTCAGCCCCAAAATAATCATACAGAAACCATATTATTTGCAATACTGTTTGTCCAATAGCTTAAATTCATTTTTGACTAACTCATATCTTAAATTAACCCATCTCCGTTAATCTGTGTATTACCACGAGGCTGTGGCTTACTGGGTAAAGTTCTGGCGTCTGTCTCCGCAGGGGCTACATGGCTTCTCCTCACCCTGCCTTCTTTCTCCCATCATTCAGTTTAGTTTTCCCTGTCTACCTCTCTCTATTCTGCCCTGCACAGGCCTAAGACAGTTTCTTTATGCTATGTACAAATCTTTGCATATGTATTCACCCATGTATACGCATTTGCTGGTACCAAGATCTAGAATGTTCCCACCATCCCCCTGACCCTGTTCCTAGCCAGTACCCCAACAGAGTCCATCTTCTAGCCTCATTTTTAAGGTAGTGAGGCACATCCATATTGTTCTTCATGCCAAGGGTTCTTTCTTAGTGTGGAGTGACATTTCGCCGTGGAAACATTCCACAGATGTACCCTCTTATCCACAGCCATTTGAGCTGTGTCTAGTTTGGCTCTTGTGAGACTGCTGTGAAAACTCTTGTATGTGTCTCTTCAGAAGAGACTTTTGAAATGCTTCTGAGCTTTATTCTTCACTCAGACAGCAGAGGCGATTAAGAATGAGCAAATCCATTCACAGAATCAGATGTATGCAGTCTGTAGTTTTCAGAGGTTCCTCAGGCATATCATAAGAGTCTTGGCGGATATACACATGTCTCCAGAATGGTCTGGACTTGGGTACTTATTCTTCCTTCCAGGTTGGTATTTTTTATTACCATTGGTTAATAAAGAAGCTGCTTTGGCCTATGGCAGGACAGAATATAGATAGACAGGAATCCAAAGATAAAAAGAAGAAAAAGAAAGCGGAGTCTGGGAGATGCCAGCAGCTGCCACAGAAGTAAGATGTGAGGTAACAAGCCACGAGCCTCATGGTAAAATATAGACTAATAGAAATGGGTTAATTTAAGTTCTAAGAGCTAGGTAATAATAAGCCTGAGCTAATAGGCCAATCAGTTTATAATTAATATTAAGCCTCTGAGTGGTTATTCAGGAACTCCTGGCAGGTGGGAGAGAAACATCCAGTTACAGCTTAGTCACCAGGGAGTGACACTATTTGAGAAGGATGTTGTTGAAATAGGTGTGGCCTTTTTGGAGGAAGTGTGTGTGGGGGGGGGCTTTGAGTGTTATCTCTCTCTCTCTCTCTCTCTCTCTCTCTCTCTCTCTCTCTGCATTCATATCAGAATGTAGTTCTCAGCTACTTCTCCAGCATTGTACATGCCTGCCACCATTTTCTTTGCCATGATAATAGACTAAACCTCTGAAACAGTAGCAGGCCCCAAATAAATGTTTTCTTTTGTAAGAGTTGCTTCAGATATGATGTCTTTTCACAGTGATAGAACAGTCACTAAGACAGTGATTAATTCATGCTTCTGCTCAGTTCTTTTTCTCCACATTCACAATCCTAGGGAATTCCCACCTCAATGACTCTAGTCAAGATAACTTCTCACAGGCAGGCCTAGCAGCCCATCTCTCAGGTGATTCTAGGTTCAATCTCACTGACTGTTAACATTATCACACATACTTCCCCATGTCTCTTTCACCGTTATGTCAGAGACCTATGAGTGTTGCCCTAAGAAGTGAGATATGGTGGTGACTCAGTCTCCAGCCATCCCATGAGCTCCCCCACCCCGATTCTGTTTAGATCAGGACCTCTCTCTGCCTCGCCCATGGTAGTGCCCTCTCTGCATCCTTTACTCCTGTATCCATGTTTGGCTGTTTCTGCACTGCCGTTTCACATGTGAATCCAATAAGTGGCCACTGAGGACTAACTGGAGCCAAGGTATAAATGAGCAACGCTGGGTTGTAGCCGATTGTTTTTCTCTGTCTCACCTAGTCCCGCTGGACTGGTTTCTCTCCCGCCTGTCAGCCCTGAAGCTGTCAGGGAACTCTGAGCCACTGAGGAATGTTCCAGGAAAGGAATAGGGGTGGGAAGTTCTTTTGGCAGTCTCTTACTTGTAATTCCTGTTTACTCAGGTAATATTTTCCTTCTCAGGTCTTTGATGGGGTTGAAGACTAGATAGTCACAGTTTCTACCCTCTCATATCTTAGCTAGACATAGGCACAAGATTTAGAGTCTTCAGGATAGGACAGCTATTGGAATAATCCTATTACTTGCCAGTTACCTATAGCCTGAACATTTAGTATGTGATTCTTGCTTGATTTTATTCTTGTTGGTTGTAGTTCCATTTTGTGTATGTTACTACACTTTCTTTCTCCTGACAGTACTTGATAATTGTTCTTATTGTATATAGTTTTTATATTAGGTTTAGAATCTTCTTGTTTAGACAAAAAGGGGAAGTGTTGTTGGAATTCATTCCATCAATAGCTTTGGGGTACCAGCCTTAGGATGTGGCTTCTTATCTGCGGATCTCTTAAAAGGAGAGAGACAGAGGTTGTGCTCTCTTTTAGGATGTGAAGACTGGGTCAGGTGGGATGAAGTGCCTTGTGGTTGGTCCCCAGGTCCCTTGGTTCCAGCTCTGTGAGTCTGGGAGGCTGCTCCAAGAGTCCCTGGCAAGATTTATGGCGGCTTACCTGGTGTCACACTCAAGCCTCTTTCTGCTATTTTCTAAGAATGGGAAGGGTGAGTAATAACATTTAGCATGTAAAAGTACCAGACTGGGATTAGTGGCTGCATATGTGGTTGGCTTAGGTCCTAGAAGCGGTTCCTGACAGATAGGCCCAGTGCTGACCATAATATCTGGAAACAGGGATTGTGCCCATAGCAAGCCTGAGCACTCGGTGGAGGGGGGGAGTTCCTATCTAATATCTTTTGAATGCATTTCTGCAATTTGAGACTAGAGAGCACTGGTCCAACTGATGTGCTTTCTCTACCATGAAACTGTGAACCAGAATAATCCTCCTGCCTGTCTGGTCAGGTATTTGGTCGCAGTGATGAGACATAATGCAGGTGCTGTGACAGAGGTGTTGTCCACAGGTATTTCAAGGCCAACTCTCCCCAGAAACCTTCTAGTGCCCTCGGGAGAGAGCACCGCTTCAGAGGAGATCCACAGGACTTGGCAAACTGTGGCCCGTTGTCTGTATGGCCCATGCATTACTTTCACAGTTTTAGATGGTTACATTCTCAATGTTTCAAATCCTGACACTGTATTCGCGTTAGGTTTTGGTCTACAGTGATTAAAGTGATTGCTATTTGGTCCCTGGTGTAGTTGTTTCCAGAGTCCAGCCTCTACCAGTAGAGAGACCTGGCCTTGCTTCTACCTTGACTTCCCTGGGGAGGCTGAAAAATGAAGATCCTTGGACACAGCCAACATGCTCTTTAGGCTTTCTCTGGTGTCACCCCAAAAGAAATGGGGCCCCTGAGGTTTGGGAGAGCTATATTTTCACTCTAATCTCCCACTACAGTCCACTGTGGATTGCTCCTGCTGGGGACAGGTGTGTCCCTGCCAAGTCAGCAGCATCTTGTGGATAAAATCTAATGAGCTGCATTTAACAACAAGCCCGGCCATGTGCCTTCTCCTGGGGCTGCCCATCTGTCAACCCTGGGAGGCCACTCTTCATGCAGCTGGAGCCCTCTCCAGCCATCAAATCAGGAGAGAGCCAAGGTCCCTTGAGCCAGGTCCAGCACAGAGGCCCACAATCTTCACTCTCAGCTTGTGCCAACTCCTGGCTGCTCTCCAGTCTTGCTACAACACTGCCAGATGGTGCCTGATGGAGGATGAGAATACTTCCAGGGAGGCATGGGCACAGGGCAGTGGGGAAAAGAGAAGCCACAAGATGCCCTGACCATGACATGGCAAGCCTCCAGGTGTGGACCAACTAGCTTTTAAATTACTGGTTTTTTTTACTGTTTATTTATTTTTTGCTATTTTAAAGCAGCTGTTGACCACCACAGTGGGCTCAAGTGGCTAATGTCACTTGTTTAGTTTGACCAGGGTCTTCCTGTCCCCTTAATATTCAGGAAGTGTTATGTCTGACTTCACCCCGAAGTTTACATTTCTGTAGCCCCAAGCACTGGTTTGTGCTGCCCCTGATTTCCTGTTGACTGAAATGGGGTCCATGATTGTTTCTTTGTGTTCATGTGACACATACTCCATCAACCATCCCAGTCTGAACCTGGTGACTAAGAAGAATGTAAACTAAACTAGGTTGTCTTCAAATTTACCATGTAGCTGAGGATGACCTTGAATTTATGATACTTCTGCTTGTAGATGGAAGTTTCTGTCCCACCTGGTTCCATAGCTGTTCAGTCCCAAAGAAACACACAGAGGCTTCTATTAATTATAACTGTTTGGCCTATTAACTCAGGCTTATTATTAACTAGCTCTTACAACTTAAATTAATCCATAATTCTTATCTATGTTTAGTCTTGTGACTTGGTACCTTATCTTAGTACAGCATTTTCATCTTGCTTTCTCAGCATCTGGGTAGTGACTGCAGACTGAGCTTTTCCTCTTCCCAGAATTCTCCTAGTCTTGTCACCCCGCCTCTACTTCCTGCCTGTCTACTGGCCAATCAGTGTTTTATTAAGCCGATACAATGATAAATCTTTACAGTGTACAAGACCATTGTCCCACAGCACTTGCTTCTACTCTTGAATGCTGGGATTACAGGCATGGGCTACTGCACCCAGTTTTATTTGGGTTTGGAAATCAAACTCAGGACTCTGAGCATGCTAGAGAAGCACTCTACCCATTGAACTACATCTCTAGGCCAACCTTTTATTCTTGAGTGCCTTGAAAATATCCCCCTTTCCATTTTTCTTACCACTGTTCCCAGAGACCTGATAGCCAGTTGCTATACATATATGCTATGTATACATTACAGAGAACTAGCAAAGGTGAGGTGTTAGCTGAGTTCTGGAAGGATGGCGTTCTGTGGTCTTCTCACCAACAGATACCCAGACACAGGGCTAAGGAGATCCCAACTCCAGGACCTCTGCAAACTCTCTGGAGCCCTGTACCTCAGCCAGTGCTGGTCAGGTCAAACATTTGGCCTAACTTGTGAGGGCTGTGATCAATGTCCTCTTGATCCCCTAATGGCTTGCAAGGTCAGGGTCCTGGACTTACTCAGTCCAACTCTACTTGTGAAGCACAAATCAAGATCAGATGAGAGAATTTGGCAGGACACGGGTAGAATCCAGTATGGAACTCTAACATAAAACACGTGGTGCTTGCCCTTCTGGGGAGACTCTCCCACCTTCTAGGTGGTGTTCTTTAGGTCCTCCTGGGGAAGTTAATATGTGTATTTGTGACTGTATAGATGGGCTTAGTAATGAGAACCAAAGGCAGGAAGAGTTGATTTTCCTAACACTTTGAGAATAGAGTCTATCATGGCAGGGAAGGTGTGGGTGAGAGCAGCTCAAGGTTGTGGTGGTGGAGGCAGGAGGGAGCTGGTTACGAGTCCACAGCTAAGATACAGAGAGATGAATTCTGGTGCTCAGTTCACTCTCTCCTTTACCTTTTAAAATTCACTCTGTGCTCCCAGCTCTCAATCAGAGTGAGTCTTCTCAGTTAAACCTCTCTAGAAACTCTTGTAGACACATTCAGGGTTTTCTTTCCTAGAAGATTGCAAATCCAGTTCAACTGACAATGGAGATCAACGCCCTCTGTCCATCATCCTTCTTAGTCACCTGGGAATGGTCAAGCAGGGGTCACATGACCATAAAGAACCATGGACCCTATAATAATCAGGGTGGTGCAAATCAGAGCTTGGGGAGGGAGAAATGTTTGCTTTGGGGAAGCTTAGGACTGGGAAGGAGGTCAGAGGTAACTACCTGGACTTCAGAGGTGGAGAGACCCTGATAAAACCAGACAAGTGATTTTAGGTACATGAGCCTGCTGGGGTGACCAGTGGCTTAGTCACTGCAGGAGGTTTCCAGGTCTCAGTATCTGCACCACACTAGCTTTTAAATGGGGTGGATATTTAGACTAACTCTCCGTATTGTGAGGAAGAAGGCAAAAGTGGGTACTGTCAGCCCTCAGGTACCAGAAAGGAAGTTGGGACATTAGTGTATTTCCACTGGATTTGAAAATTCAAAGAACTACTATAGTCTTAGTACAATTAGTTTTTTTTGAGACAGAGTCTGTCACTGTCTTAAAACTTGTCATGTAAGCCTGCCTGCACCAAGCAAGGTAGGCGCTTTGTTTGCGAGCTACCTACCCAACCAGCACGGAGACCTGATCTCTCAGCGCCAGGAGAGCCAACATTGGGGTGAGTTTCTGACCCCGTGGCGCCAGCCCAGGACAGGGAACTCAGAAGTTCCTCAACCCCCTGTCCTTCTTGGGCTCTCTGCAGGGCCTCTACTCCCTGCATACTGCCTCTTTCTTCCTATCCCACCCAGCTTGCATCCAGAACCCTCCCCACTTCGGCCCTACTGCCCTCTTTCGGCACATAACATCACCCAGCCCAGCCTGTCTGGGCACTGGGTCCGAATCCTCAGGGCAACCAAGCAGGCGGGAGTTCCTTTGTTTCTATAGCCTGCCTGCACCAAGCAAGGTAGGCGCTTTGTTTGTGAGCTACCCAACCAGCACAGAGACCTGATCTGGGTGCCAGGAGAGCCAGCATTGGGGAGAGCCATCAATGGGCATGGAGATCTGATCTTGGCACCAGGAGAGCCGTCACTGGGGAGAGCCATCATTGGGAAGGTACATCAGTAGGCAAGGAGACCTGATCTGGTAAAAGATCCATAAGGGAGCATTCGGAAGAAGAGATGGGCAGACGCCAATGCAAGAATTCACCCAACAAGCTGAAAAGCAACATGAAGCCACCAGAAACCAGCGACCTCACAATGGGAGGACATGAACACCTTAATCAAGAAGAAGTAGAAAAGAGTGACTTCATGAAAGTGATTGATGCCCTTAAGCAGCATGTAAAAAAACGCCCTTATAGAAATGGATGAGAAATATAACAGAAAGTTTGAAGAATTGAATAAATCAGTGAATGATACCCTAGAAAACCAAGGAAAAACAATCAAACAGATAATGGAAACAGTTCAAGACTTGAAAATTGAAATGGAGGCAAAGAAGAAAACACAAACAGAGGGCCGGCTGGACATGGAAAATTTAAGTAAACAAACAGAGTCTACAGAAACAAGCATAACCAACAGAATACAAGAGATAGAAGAAAGAATCTCAGATTCTGAAGATACCATAGAGAAAATAAACACACTGATCAAAGAAAACAGCAAGTCCAACAAACTCTCATCACAAAACATTCAGGAAATCTGGGACACAATAAAAAGACCAAACCTAAGAATAATAGGAGTAGAAAAAGGAGAAGAAGTGCAGCTCAATGGTCCAGAAAATATATTTAATAAAATTATAGAAGAAAACTTTCCCAACCTAAAGAAAGATATACCTATGAAGGTTCAAGAAGCATACAGAACACTGAATAGGCTGGATCAAAAAAAAACCATCCCCTTGCCATATATTAATCAAAACACAAAGCATACAGAATAAGGAAAGAATTTTAAGAGCTGCAAAGGAAAAAGGCCAAGTCACTTATAAAGGTAAACCTATGAGACTTACACCTGACTTCTCCATGGAAACCATGAAAGCCAGAAGGTCCTGGATAGATGTACTGCAGAAACTGAGAGACCATGGATGCAAGCCCAGACTACTATATCCAGCCAAGCTTTCGTTCACTATAAATGGAGAAAATAAAATTTTCCAGGATAAAAACAAATTTAAACAATACGTAGCCACAAATCCAGCCTTACAGAAAGTAATAGAAGGAAAATCACTAACCAAGGAGTCCAACAATGACCACAATAACTCAGACATCTAGAGACCCTTCACCAACACAACTCAAAGAAGGGAAACACACAAACTCTATGACTAAAAAAGTGACTGGAGTTAACAACCACTGGTCATTAATATCACTTAATGTCAATGGACTCAACTCACCTATAAAAAGGCACAGGCTAAGAGATTGGATAAGAAAACAGGATCCAACATTCTGCTGTTTACAAGAAACACACCTCAACCACAAAGACAGGCACCTACACAGAGTAAAGGGCTGGGAAAAGGCTTATCAAGCAAATGGACCTAAGAAACAAGCAGGTGTGGCCATACTAATTTCTAACAAAGTTGACTTCAAACTTAAATCAATCAGAAGAGATGGAGAGGGGCATTTTATACTCATAACAGGAACAGTTGATCAGGATGAAGTCTCAATCCTGAACATCTATGCCCCTAATATAAAAGCACCCACGTACATAAAAGAAACATTGCTAAAACTCAAGGCAGCCATCAAACCGCACATACTAATAGTAGGAGACTTCAATACTCTTCTCTCACCAATGGACAGGTCAATCAGACAGAAACCTAACAGAGAAATAAGAGAATTAATGGAGGTAATGAAGCAAATGGTCTTAACAGACATCTATAGATTATTCCACCCAAATAGGAAAGAATATACCTTCTTCTCTGCAGCTCATGGAACCTTCTTGAAAATCAACCATATAGTCGGTAACAAAGCAAACATCCACAGTTACAAAAAAATATTAGTAACCACCTGCGTCTTATCAGATCACCATGGATTAAAGTTAGAATTCAACAACATTGCTACCCCCAGAAAGCCTACAAATTCACGGAAACTGAACAGTCAACTACTGAACTATACCTGGATTAAGGAAGAAATAAATAAAGAAATTAAAGTCTTCCTGGAATTCAACGAAAATAAAGAAACAACCTACTCAAACTTATGGGACACTATGAAAGCAGTCCCAAGAGGAAAGTTCATAGCACTAAGTGCCCACTTAAAGAAAACAGAGAAAGCTCACATTGGAGACTTAACAGCCCACCTGAAAGCTCTAGAAAAAAAAGAAGCAGACTCACCTAGGAGGAGTAGAAGACTGGAAATAATCAAACTGAGGGCTGAAATCAACAAAATAGAAACACACAAAACAATCCAAAGAATCAATGAAACAAAAAGCTGGTTCCTGGAGAAAATCAACAAGATTGACAAACCCCTATCCAAACTAATCAAACGGCAGAGAGAGAATTTGCAAATTAATAAGATCAGAAATGAAAAGGGGGACATAACCATAGACACAGAGGAAATTCAGAGAATCATTAGATCTTACTACAAAAGCCTATATGCCACAAAACTGGAAAATGTAAAAGAAATGGACACTTTTTTTAGATAAATACCATATACCAAAGTTAAACCAGGACCAGGTGAACAATCTAAATAGACCTGTTAGTCGCGAAGAATTAGAAGCTGTTATCAAAAACCTCCCTACCTAAAAAAGCCCAGGACCAGATTGTTTCAATGCGGAATTCTACCAGAACTTCCAAGAAGAGCTAATACCTATACTCCTTAATGTATTTCACAATATAGAAACAGAAGAGGCATTGCCAAATTCCTTTTATGAAGCTACAGTTACTCTGATGCCAAAACCGCACAAAGACTCAACCAAGAAAGAGAATTACAGGCCAATTATCACTCATGAACATCGACGCAAAAATCCTCAACAAAATACTGGCAAACCGAATCCAAGAACACATTAGAAAAATTATTCATTATGATCAAGTAGGCTTCATCCCAGAGATGCAGGGCTGGTTCAACATACGAAAATCTATCAATGTAATCCATCATATAAATAAACTGAAAGAAAAAAACCATATGATCATCTCATTAGATGCTGAAAAAGCATTTGACAAAATTCAACATCCCTTTATGATAAAAGTATTGGAGAGATTAGGGATACAAGGGTCATACCTAAATATAATAAAAGCTATATACAGCAAGCTGACAGCTAACATCAAGTTAAACGGAGAGAAACTCAAAGCCATCCCACTAAACTCAGGAACACGACAAGGCTGTCCACTCTCGCCATACCTCTTCAATATAGTGCTTGAAGTTCTAGCAATAGCAATAAGACAACATAAGGGGATCAAGGGGATTCGAATTGGAAAGGAAGAAGTGAAACTTTTATTATTTGCAGATGATATGATAGTGTACATAAGCGACCCCCAAAACTCCACCAAAGAACTTTTACAGCTGATAAACAGCTTTAGTAATGTGGCAGGATACAAGATCAACTCCAAAAAATCAGTCGCCCTCTTATACACAAAGGATAGGGAAGCAGAGAGGGAAATCAGAGAAGCTTCACCTTTCACGATAGCCACAAACAGCATAAAATATCTTGGGGTAATTCTAACCAAGGAAGTGAAAGATCTATTTGACAAGAACTTTAAGGCATTGAAGAAAGAAATTGAGGAGAAAACCCGAAAATGGAAGGACCTCCCTTGCTCTTGGATTGGGAGGATCAACATAGTAAAAATGGCAATTCTACCAAAGGTAATTTATAGATTCAATGCAATCCCCATCAAGGTCCCATCAAAATTCTTCACAGATCTTAAGAGGACAATAATCAACTTTATATGGAAAATCAAAAAACCCAGGATAGACAAAACATTCCTATACAATAAAGCATCTTCTGGAGGCATTACCATCCCTGATTTCAAACTCTATTACAGAGCTACAGTGATGAAAACAGTGTGGTACTGGCATAAAAACAGAGAAGTCGACCAATGGAATCGTATAGAAGACCCGAATTTTAACCCACAAACCTATGAACACCTCATTTTCGATAAAGGAGCTAAAAGTATAAAATGGAAGAAAGAAAATATCTTCAACAAATGGTGCTGGCACAACTGGATGTCAACATGTAGAAGAATGAAAATAGACCCATATCTATCACCATGCACAAAACTCAAGTCCAAATGGATTAAAGACCTCACTATCAGTCAGAACACATTGAACCTGATAGAAGAGAAAGTGGGAAGTACCCTACAGGAGATGGGCACAGGAGATCGCTTCCTATGTGTAACCCCAGAAGCACAGACATTAAGGGCAACATTGAATACATGGGACCTACTAAAACTGAGAAGCTTCTGTAAAGCAAAGGACACTGTCACTAAGACAAAAAGGCAACCTACTGACTGGGAGAAGATCTTCACCAACCCCGCAACAGACAAAGGTCTGATTTCCAAAATATATAGAGAACCCAGGAAACTAGACTTTAAAATGCTAATTAACCCAATTAAAAAATGGGGCACTGAACTGAACAGAGAATTCTCAGCAGAGGAAGTTCAAATGGCCAAAAGACACTTAAGGTCATGCTCAACCTCCTTAGCGATCAGGGAAATGCAAATCAAAACAACTTTGAGATATCATCTTACACCTGTCAGAATGGCTAAAATCAAAAACTCCAATGATAGCCTTTGCTGGAGAGGCTGTGGAGGAAGGGGTACCCTCATCCATTGCTGGTGGGAATGCAATCTTGTGCAACCACTTTGGAAATCAGTGTTTCGGTTTCTCAGGAAATTCGGGATCAACTTACCCCTGGACCCAGCAATACCACTCTTGGGAATATACCCAAGAGATGCCCTATCATATGACAAGAGCATTTGTTCAACTATGTTCATAGCAGTATTATTTGTAATAGCCAGAACCTGGAAACAACCTAGATGCCCTTCAATGGAAGAATGGATGAAGAAAGTGTGGAATATATACACATTAGAGTACTACACTGTGGTAAAAAACAATGACTTCTCTAATTTTGCATGCAAATAGATGGAAATAGAAAACACTATCCTGAGTGAGGTAACCCAGACCCAAAATATGAACATGGGATGTACTCATTCATAATTGGTTTCTAGCCATAAATAAGGGTCACGGAGTCTACAATTGGTGAACCTAAAGAAGCTAAGTAAGAAGGTGAACCCAAGGAAAAACATATAGTTATCCTCTTGGCTATGGGAAGTAGACAAAATTGCCGGGGAGAAAATTGGGATCTTGGGGGTGGGGTGGGATGGGGGTTGTTGTTCCTTTGCGGAACTACAGCTCCCAGCATTCTCCTGGACTACGGACATATTACCAGAAGCCTTTGCATTCCTCGTTAAAAAGCCAGGGTCCTACAACCTCTCTCTCTCTCTTTCCCGCCTCTCCTGTCGTGTCAGCACACCTGTACCTGCCCTATGTTACCCCTCCCCCATTAAAAGTGCACCCACTTGGGACCTCCGCGTGTCTGTGTTTTCTTCCCCGAGTAATGTCTTTACCCTCTAACCTGCAGACAAGAAAGCCAGCCAGAAATTAGGAACAACATTGGTGTCGACTCGGTGACCTTTCCATCCCGATGCCTGAGGCTTTGCCTCTGGGCTTCACCGGCACAAGGTCTGAACTGACCGCCTGCAACCACCTCCACCTGTTTACCATGGCCATCTAACACCGACTGATCCGTGAGTTAACCTAAGTTGGCTTCCTTCCCCCGGGGCGATAAGAGACTGTCCGGCCGACTTTCTTTGGCGCATCCTGGGCAAGGTCGCCGACCTCCCTCCCCCTTCCCCCCAACTTTTTGCCCTCTGCTATAACCTGCCTCCGTCCGCGCCTGGAAGTTTGGTGCTTCCAGCCTCTCCCTCTCCTTTTTTTGTAATCTTTCCTGTCTTCTTTCCGGCCCACTACGGTGCGGTTGCCCCCAGTCTGTAAATCAGCCCCCAAAAGCTTAATTGTCTCCTCCCAGCCGGGGCTTTTTTCCCCCGTCGGTAGCTGGGCTCAGGCCAATTGAGCCCTAACACGCCCCTCGGGTACACGGACACCTGTACTCGAGGCTGCCGTGTTCGCGGTACCCCGGTACGTTTTTGCGGACAGGCTTGCGTTCTTAGTCATGGGTTCCAAGCCATCCAAAACAATTCCCCCATCCTCTCTTCTCAGGCAGCTTCTGGACGCTCTGGAGCCTCACACCCTCATTCCCTCTGTAAAACTATCTAAGTTGATCTGCCTCTGTTCCAAAACTTGGCCTAAGTACAATTTACAAGGTTCTTTCCATTGACCTTCCCAAGGTTCATTTGACCCCGACATTCTGCAAGAGTTGGCAAATTTCTGTCACCGGTCAGCTAAATGGAAATAGATGATGTATATTATGGCCTTCTTTTATATGGCCCTAAAGACTGACCCTTCCACTTCTTCTCACTGTTCACCTGCTCACATGTTTTTGGCAATGCCTTCCCTCCAGGAACCCTCCGCTCGCGCCATGGACCTGGCTGACGACCCCCCACCCCCCCGACCTTGTGGGATCACCCCTTCCCACCCTGCCCAATCGGGGGCCACCTCCCCTATCCCTCCTTCTTCAAAGGTTTCTTCTAGGTACAGAAAGGACTCGCCTACACCTTCCCCCCATGACGCCTCTAAATGTTCCATTCCTAGGTCTCCAGGAGTTCTGCATAAATATCCTTCTGGGTCACCTTCCCGCTCCTCTAAATCCCCCAAAAAATCCCATTCCCCCTGTCTCTTATATCCCTGTCTTTCCGATACAGCTTCACCCAACTTCTCCCGCAGCCGGACACGATCGCGCATGCAGCTAACAATTTCCTCTTGCCACAGGACATGCCGGTTATCGGAACCATCTTCGGATTCCTCCGGGTCATTTCCCCGCCCTACCCCGCCCCCTCTATCCTCCAAAACCCCCTCAGGCTCTAACCCCACCCGCCACCTTGCGCTTTCCTTAACCCCGCCCCTCACATGCTCGCGCGCCGTGCTGCAGCAGCAGAGTCTGGCCCTGATCAACTCAAACCAGCCACAGTTCTGCCCTTGTGGGAGGTAGCGGGCGCAGAGGGCCTGATGAAAGTTCACGTTCCTTTCGCCTTATCGGAACTTTCACACATTTCTAAGTTACTCGGGTCATACACAGCTGACCCCACTAATTTCACAAAAGAGTTTCAATATTTAACCCAATCTTTCAACCTAACTTACCATGATATTTATATGATTCTCTGTAATAACTTGCTTCCCGAGGAGCGCCGGTGGGTCTGGGAACAGGCGAGGCTGCACGCTGATGAAGTTCATCAAACACTGGCTTCCCATCCCCCAGGGGCAGAGGCGGTGCTGGACCAGGAACCCCACTGGGATTGCAACTCTCCCCGGGGCATTCTGGCCAGAGACCGGTTCCTAACTTGCCTCATGGTGGGGCTAAGGAAGGCTGCTCTCAAACCAGTAAATTATTCTAAACTCGCAGAAATTTTCCAAGACACTAAGGAAAATCCCTCTGCATTTCTTGACCGCCTTACTAAAGCTATGTTACAGTTCACAAACATGGATCCAGAATCCACGGAGGGCAGACAGCTCCTGATGACCCATTTCCTCAACCAGTGCTACTCAGACATCAAGACAAAGCTCAGACGTTTGGAGAAGGGTCCCCTAACCCCACAGGCACAGATACTGGAGGCAGCTTTCAAGGTATACCACGTGAGGAACGACAGAGCCCAAAATCATTGCCACGTAATCACCGCACCCGCCCGGCCAGCCGAGGTAATGGACTCCACTACCCGTCCTCCCCGCACCGCTCCCCCGCCCCCTGGGGTGCGTGAGCCGCTGGGCCCATGCTTCAAGTGTGGTAAGACAGGTCACTGGGCGAAGGGATGCCCCAATCCCCATCGCAACCCAAGGGGCCCCTGCCCATGGTGTCACAGGGAGGGTCACTGGTCCACAGACTGTCCTCGTGCGTTCGATGACACGGGGGCAGCGGCCCCAGAGGACCCCCAGGTTGACCTATTGGGTTTGGCCCTGGAAGACTGAAGGTTCCCGAGCTCCTCCACCGACAACCCGACTGCTACGCCCATCTGCAACCAGGAGCCACGGATACTTCTTACAATGTCGGGACGCCTCATCTCTTTTCTCTTGGACACCAGAGCAACATATTTGGTTCTAAGGGAATTTTGGGGGCCAACCTCCCCCTCAAGTTCCCCTATCGACAGGGTAGGGGGACTGCCTCATCTACCTCACCAAACTCCACCTCTCAATTGCATATTTAGAGGTATCTTTCTCACTCATTCATTCCTAGTTCTACCAACCTGTCCAGTCCCACTCTTGGGAAGAGATCTTCTGACCAAGCTGGGAGCCTCCATTTCTTTCGCGCCCCCCCCACCCGTTTTGTTTCATATTCATCGGTGACAAGCTGCTGCTTCTCCTGGCCCCGTGATCCTCTGATACTAACATTCCTTTTCCTCTCCCAGCCTCCCAGGTGGACCCTCTCATGTGGGATATCCAAAACCCCGCTGTCGCTAAACACCATCCCCCCGTTGTTATTCAGTTAAAAAACCCCACTAGGTATATCACCCAAGCCCAGTACCCCCTTTCTTCCCAAAGCCTCAGAGGACTAAAACCTATAATCTCTGATCTTTTGAGGAAGGGGCTGCTTCGCCCCACCTCCTCCCCCTTTAACACTCCTATAGCGGCTGTCAAAAAATCTAACGGAACTTATTGTTTGGTTCAGGACCTCCGGCTCATCAATTCTGCTGTCGTTCCTTTACACCCAGTCGTACCCAATCCCCTCACCCTTCTGTCCAACATTCCTTCAGGGACCTCCCACTTCTCAGTCTTAGACCTCAAGGATGCCTTTTTCTCTATTCCTCTCAGCCCTCAATCTCAGAACATCTTTGCCTTCACCTGTACAGATCCTGATACTAATTTCTCCACACAACTAACCTGGACCGTTCTCCCTCAGGGATTCCGGGACAGCCCACACCTCTTTGGCCAGGCTCTGGCCTCTGATCTGCTCTCACTGTCCCTCCTTAAATCAAAACTGGTACTCTATGTCGATGACATTCTGCTGTGTAGCCCATCTTTGGAGACTAGCAGGACTGACACCGCCACCTTATTAAATTTTTTATCCAAAAAGGGCTTCAGAGTCTCGCCTTCTAAGGCTCAATTGTCCACCACTCAGGTAACGTATTTGGGGTTAACCATAACCCCAACACAAAAAGCTATCACCCTGGACAGAAAAAGGCTAATTCAATCTCTTGCAGTTCCTTCCACCAAAGAAGAGGTTCTATCATTCCTGGGAGTGGCTGGTTTCCTGCGATCCTGGATTCCCTCATTCTCTCTCCTCGCCCGCCCCCTATATAAAGCAGCTCTCGGCTCTCTGCATGAGCCCCTCCTTCACCCCATCACCAAACCTTTCCAGAGACTCCAACAGGCCCTTACCCAAGCCCCAGCTCTCCATCTTCCGGATTTAACCCGCCCTTTTTCTCTTTACGTAGCAGAAAAAGAGGGCTATGCCCTGGGAGTCCTAGGCCATCAACTGGGACCTTCCTTCGCACCTGTAGCTTACCTGTCAAAGAAGATGGACCTCACCACTCGGGGCTGGGCACCTTGCATACGTGCTTTGGCGGCTGCTGAACTCCTTATTCATGAGTCAAAAAAGCTAACCTTCGGAGCACCCACTACGGTTTTCTCTCATCATAACATGTCTAACCTCTTAACTTACAAAGGCCTACAGACCCTACCCCCTTCTCGAGTTCTTTCCCTTCAGGTGGCGCTGGTGGAAGATACGAGTCTCACATTTTAGTGCTGCCCACCTCTTAATATTTCAAATCTTCTACCTCAACCTAATGTTAATGATTCCCCATCCCATTCCTGCATTGAGGTCCTAGAGGACCTACTGCTCCACCCCTCACATATACAGGACGGCAGCCTGTCCCAGGCTACTCACACCTGGTACACGGACGGCAGCTCCTTTCTATGTGATGGGACCCGCAGAGCAGGTTATGCCATAGTGTCAGACACAGAGATAGTCGAGGCAAAGGCACTCCCTGCTCACACTACTAACCAGCAGGCTGAGCTGATAGCTCTCACCCGTGCCTTTCAGTTAGCCGCGGGACAATCTTTAAACGTCTACACAGATTCTAAATATGCTTTTCATATCCTGTTATCTCACGCGGCCATCTGGAAGGAACACAGGCTTCTCACGGCGAAGGGAGGGTCTATTACCAACTCAGAGCATATTATGGACCTGCTAAAAGCTTCCCATCTCCCTAAAGCTATAGGAATTATTCACTGTCGGTCTCATCAGTCTGACAGTTCTATTGTTTCCAAGGGAAATAACCGGGCTGACAGAGCAGCTAAGACAGCAGCACTTAGCCCAGATCTGCCTCAGTTACCTCAGGGACTCCTTACGGCACAGCCCACAACCTTACAGACACCTTCTAACACTCAACAGATCCTGTCCTACCTGCACCAGCTTTTTCATCCTAATGAAAAAGCTCTGCTTCATTTTGTAAAAACACATATCAAACCCACGCCTGAGGATATCAGGTTCCTAAAAGCCACCACTGCCTCCTGTCAGATCTGCCAAAAGTCAGATCCCAGGACCAAATATCATAGCTTCCCTTTCCCTACCCACCAGGCAAGGGGCTCCCTTCCGGGAACTGACTGGTAGCTGGATTTTACTCATATGCCCACAGTCAGGAAGATTAAATATCTCCTGGTTCTGGTGGATACAATGTCTGGGTGGGTTGAAGCCTTCCCCACCTCTAACAAGAGAGCCCAGACAGTCTCTGATGATCTTCTCCGAGAGATTATTCCCCGGTTTGGACTCCCAACTTCTCTTCAGTCAGATAACGGTCCAGAGTTTACTTCCCAGATTTCTCAAAATCTGTCTAAAGCGCTCGGAATCCCCTGGAATTTTCACATACTGTACCATCCTCAGTCATCAGGTAAGGTAGAACAGACTAACCGCTCTTTAAAGGAAGCTCTCGTTAAGATGTCACAGGAACTCCACCTCGACTGGGTAAGACTCCTACCCCTCGCTCTTCTCAGGCTCTGGGCTCTCCCAAAAGGCCCCATTTTCATTTCACCCTTTGAACTCATGTATGGGCGGCCGGTCTTAACCCCCGGCCTCTCATCGGGGACCTCTCCCCTTCCTGACCACCTGCTCACTCCCCTCCTTTTCCACTTACGTTCGCTACTGTGGAACTTCACAGATCACTCACTACCTCAACCATGTGCTAATACATGTCCACCGCCGGTTAACATAGGGGATAAGGAATCCAAAAAAACAAAACAAAACAAAACAAAACAAAAAGCCGGGCGGTGGTGGCGCACGCCTTTAATCCCAGCACTCGGGAGGCAGAGGCAGGTGGATCTCTGTGAGTTCGAGGCCAGCCTGGTCTACAGAGCTAGTTCCAGGACAGGAACCAAAAGCTACGGAGAAACCCTGTCTTGAAAAATCCAAAAAAAAAAACAAAACATAGGGGATAAGGTATTATTCTCACCCCCAGGCCAGCGTCCCTTACCTCTTTCTCCTAAATGGCAGGGCCCTTTCAGAGTAATTCTTCTGACTCCCACAGCTGCCAAACTTGAAGGAATTCCTCATTGGATTCACCTGTCACATCTTAAAACATTTATCTCCACAGCTCAAGATAATCCTTCATGCACGGTAACTCAGACGGGACCTTGTTCTCTTAAGTTCCAAAGGACACTGGATTCAGCCTCCTCTACTCCAGTCTAAGGAAGACGGATGGTCCCATCCGTTGCTGTGTTAACACACCCTCCCTTCTTTAAATTCACAAATAACCAACCAGCTGTTGTTACAGGTACCATCATCAAATACGGAGTCAAGGGCTCAGGTGGTAAGCAGATTCTCAACAAAGTTCTTTGACATAACAGGTCAGCCGCTGACTGCAGCAGTGGCCCCTAAAATGTTAAAGAATATACGGTTAAAATCTATTTCTTTTAAGACACTTTCTTTAAGCTCCAGGATGCCAGCCCGACCCACCTAAACAAATCAAACACAAGCGGATCATTAACGGAATAAGTATCATTTAATTTTTTATCATTTTTAATCCCTAAGACTCCCTCACCCCAGATCTCCTCTCCCCTTTAATTTTTTTTCTTTTTTCTCTAATGCAACTTTTGTCTTCCAGCATCTTAACGATGACCCAGCTACTCGAAAAGCCAGACAGATACGATTTCTTCAATCAGCCACCTCAGACACCAGCCAAGACTTCAAACGCCAGCGGACACCAGTGATCCCAAGGACACCAGCGGCCTCAAACGCCAGTGGGACATCGCCAGAATAATCGGACATTCCCTGGGTCCCCCGACGCCCAAAGCCAGCAGGAAGCAGTCATGAGAGACCGGGCTATGCCCCCATTCCCTACCCTTTAAGGCCCCCAATTTTTTTTAATCAAACCAGAAGGGTGAAATGTTGTTCCTTTGCGGAACTACAGCTCCCAGCATTCTCCTGGACTACGGACATAATCCCAGAAGCCTTTGCATTCCTCGTTAAAAAGCAAGGGTCCTACGACCTCTCTCTCTTTCCCGCCTCTCCTGTCGTGTCAGCACACCTGTACCTGCCCGTTGTTAACCCTCCCCCATTAAAAGTGCACCCACGTGGGACCTCCGCGTGTCTGTGTTTTCTTCCCCGAGTAATGTCTTTACCCTCTAACCCGCAGACAAGAAAGCCAGCCAGAAATTAGGAACAACAGGGGTAAGGGGAGATGGGGAGAGAAAAGGGAGAAGGGGAGGATGGGGGGAACTTGGGGAAAAAAGATGATTGGGATAAAGGAAGGTTGGATAGGGGAGCACGGAAGCACTATTCTTAGTTAAGGGAGCCACCTTAGGGTTGGCAAGAGACTTGAACCTAGAGTGGCTCCCAGGAGCCCAAGGCGATGTCCCCAGTTAGTTCCTTGGGCAGCTGAGGATAGGGAACCTGAAATGACCCTATCCTATAGCAATACTGACGAATATCTTGCATATCACCATAGAACCTTCATCTGGTGATCGATGGAGATAGAGACAGAGACCCACACTGGAGCACTGGACTGAGCTCCCAAGGTCCCAATGAGAAGCAGAAGGAGGGAGAACATGAGCAAAGAAGTCGGGACCACAAGGGGTGCACCCACCCACTGAGACAGTGGAGCTGATCTACTGGGAGCTCACCAAGGCCAGCTGGACTGTGACTGAAAAAGCATGGGATAAAACCGGACTCTCTGAACATGGCGAACAATGAGGGCTGATGAGAAGCCAAGGACAATGGCACGGGGTTTTGATCCTACTTAATGTTCTGGCTTTGTGGGAGCCTAGCCAGTTTGGATGTTCACCTTCCTAGATATGGACAGAGGGGGGAGGACCTAGGACTTACCACAGGCAGGGAACCCTGACTGCTCTTTGGACTGGAAAGGGAGGGGGAGAGGAGTGGGGGGAGGGGGAGAAGGGTGGGAGGGAAATGGGAGGCTGGGAGGAGGCAGAAACTTGTTTTTTTTCCTTTTCTCAATAAAAAAATTGTCAGTGAGCAAAAAAAAAAAAAACCCAAAAAACAAAAAACTTGTCATGTAGGCTGTGCTAGCTGGCCAACGATCTGTCTGTCTCTGCTCCCCCTCCCCAGGGCTAAAATTATAAGCATGCACCATGCCTGTTTTTTTTTCATTTTTAGCATGGATTTTGGGGATCAAACCAAGTTTTTGCAAGTAAAGTAGTTTACCAACTGTGCCATTTCAATAGCTCTGTAAGGTGTTTAAATGAAGTGTTGTTTAGATTTAGAGACGAGAGAGGAGTGATGATGGAATTCAACTCAAGGTCACAAACATTCTGGCCTCGAGTATAATTTTCTATTGTTTTAATATTTATTCATTTGTGTGTGTGCACACATGTAGAGATCAGAGACCAATTTATAGGAGTTGGTTCTCTCCTTCTACCTTGTGTTCTTGGAGATCAGACTCAGGCTTGGTGACAGGAGCTCTAATGTGTTGAACCTTGTTTGATAAGTCTCTAGGAAGTTGAATTCTGTCTGTATAACATTTGGGTTTTATCAGTTAGGTTGAAGTTTCTGAATCTTAGGTTGCAGATGGGCAGCCTCCTTTTCCTTTCTGTTGCCTCTTAATTTCCCATTTTGGCAGATCCAGCCTGAATTTGAACAATGGTAGCAGGAATATGGGAGGTAAGGGAAAAGAGCTACCCTGAATTGTGAGCATGGAGTGAGGTCTGAACATGACTGTCTCTCTTGCCCCCAAATTCCTGTATTGAAATCCTTATCCCATGGAGAGGAGATCATTTGATCACAGGTACAGAGCCCAATAATGAGATTAGCACTTGAATAAAGGAATCCAAGAGAGACCCCCCTCACACAGACTTCTACAATGTCAGCACTAGGCAGGCAGGCCCTCATCAGACAGAGCCCCCAGGAGCTTGATTGAACTCTGTAGCTTCCAGACTACAGGAAAAGCACTTACATTGTTTATGGCCACCTCCCACTCACCAGCCCATTTATTGCGTTTTATTATATAGCCCAAGTCAACTAAAGTGAGGACGTTTCTACCTGGGGTGAGAAGGCAGGGATTTGACTCAACGTGAGATGTCAGGAAACGGACAGCTGGACTATCTTTATTCTTAGTCCCTGTGGAGAGTCATAGCAACTTCAAGAGGGTGACTTTTGGAAAGCCTCCTGGTGTCTGGGGTCGTGGGTGTCAGTGGTGTTTATATCAGCAAGCAAGAAGAGGGGTGCTGGTAGAAGTTCTAGAAACAGGGATACATCCTGGTCTCCACCACCACCAGGGGGAGGCCTGGCACAGTCTCCACTGCTTCCTGCAAAGTCTGTCAATTCTTGTCACTGCTGGAGCTCCTGGTGCATTGGGCATAAAGATGAATGGGTGAGCCTCCCAAGAGAAGCAGCGATATTGGCTCAGCAAGGAGGGGGAAGACAAACCATTCTCCAGCTTGCTGCCTTCTGCTGGCAGAAGCCGAGGCCGGGAAATCTGCGAGGTGGTTCTGGACAGATTGTGTGCCCAGTGTGCTTGTTTTTCCACATCCACTCTCTGCTAATCTAAGACTGGACATGAGAAAGCTGGCTGGGGGAAAAGTGGAGTCTGAGGAGAGATGCAGGAGTGTGAGGCGTTTCCCCAGCCCAACATCCCGGGAGGTGTCCTTGAAGCAGCTTGCTCTCGCAGTAAGAGCTCTGAGATGTCCCTGGGCAGCAGGTGCCCATCAGAACAGCTCCTATTAGAAAAGGCTCTGAATCTCCGCAGTCCCCGTTGCCATGGCAAACAGCCATTCACAGAGCCAGGCTGATCATTCCAGAATCCTGCCCAGTGGAGAGTAGCCTCTAACCTCAATTTGAGCAGTCTGGGCCTCACCTTTCATAGGTCTGTTCCTGCCTAGAAATAGCTTTTCTCTCCACCTACTGATTTAAAAGAATGTGTAGTGTTCGGAGGCTCAGTGCCCTTGAGCCTTAGAAAAGCTGTTTCTCTCCCCAATGACCAAACAATCCTCACCTTTTAAAATGATCCCCGTATCACTGCTGAGCTGCTTGTGGGGAGGTTCCCTGAGTCTGGCAGATTCGCAGACAAGGAAATCCAGGTAACACTTAGAGAAATACCCAATGTTACTGGAGGTTATGAACCTGGTCATCAGACCCCTCAGCTACCCAGAGCCTGGCTGTTGAATCCGCACAGAATCTTTATTTTTTAAAAGTATTTATTGTGGGGGCTGAAGAGGTCGCTCAAGGGTTAATAAAACTTGCTTTTTTCCACCCCAGAGGACCTGAATTCAGTTCCCAACACCTACATGGTGGGTGGCTCACAGCCATCTGTAACTCTAGTTCAAAGGGATCCAGCACCTTCTGACCTCTCTTAGCACCAAGTGTGCACATAGTGCAATGCATACATTCAGACTAGACACTCATACACAGAATAATAGATCTAACATATCTTTTAGTTCTGATTATGTGTATATGTGTATGTCTCTGTGCGGATATGTACACCGCATTGGGTGCCTGCAGAGGCCAGAGGTGTTGGATCCCCCTGGATGCTGGAGTTATAGTTGTGAGCCATCTATATGGCTGAGAACTGAACTCTGGTCTTCTGGAAGAGCTGAACATCTGTCCAGCCCCACAGATGGTCTTTTCTGTCATGTTTGTGTTTGTACTAGACCTGAACCTCCCTTATTCCTCCAGCAACAGCACTTTTTACCTTAGGGACACCACTTCCTTTTAGTTCCTTTCTGACGTGATGGCCAAGACTTTGTCCAGCTACTGAGCTACGACGCCTGGTCTTGGAAGGAGCATGAGAAAAGAAAGGGAACAAGCTCAAGCTGACAGACAGGCCATAGTCATACCATGTAATAAGCTATGGGGAGAGCATGGGAGGTGTGGTCCCAGGAGTGCCACTCAAATGACTACTGTCAGGACCTACCATTGGCAGCAGGTGCCAGGAGTCTAGGAAGGGCTCGAAGAACATAGGATGCTGGGTGACATCTATTTAAACAGGAAACTCTGAGCTAGGCTGGATGCCTGTGGAATGATGAATGGAGCAGCAGTCATGGAAACTGAAGCAGGAATCTTGTTGCCTTTTCTGGGCCAACCCAGGTCTGGGCAAGCTTGTGCCTTTTAGGATGACTTGATCATACAGCCAGGCTGTGAACAGCAGAACCTGTCCTCAGCCTCAGGACTGACTGGCATCACCAATGGTGTCGAGACATTGAGTGCCAGCAGGCCTGGCCAGCACCAGACAGCAGCCATCAGAAGGAAGTTCCTGTGGAATCAAGACTCATGTAAGTATGCTGCCTCCAGGAAAGTAGAAGATTCTGAAAGACGCAGTGAGCAAAGGAGAAAGACAGAAGAGGTAGATGAGCCCCAGGTAAACAAGCATCAGAGGCTACATCTTGAGGCAGATTCTGTGAGAATTCTTAGCAGCAGCAGAAATCAACCCACTGGGTGTTAGCTGGCTATTGTGGTTTGAGTGTGAAAGATCCTTCATAGACTCATATATTTTAACACTTAGTCCCAGCTTGTTTCTTTTGGGACCTAATGGAGTCCTGGCCTTCCTACTCACCTCCCCTGTTGGTGACCTTTCTTGCCCTTGTTGTTCTGGGTTTCTGAGAAACTTGCAAGTTCCCTGCTCTCAGAGTTGGTTACCAACCCTGCTTCCTGAGTGCGCATTTCCTTGGCCCTAACCTGAGGATCTGGTGATGAGGTCTCCATCCTGTTGGCCCTTTGGTGATGTACAATAAAGGGCTTCTGATTCTCCAACATCCAGAGTGCGTGTTCAATTAATCCTGATGTCCTTCCCTTAGACTTGGCTCTAGCTGCACTGGTGCAGCAGGTTTCACTATTTTAGAAGATTGTGGAATCTTTATGAGATGAAGCCTTTCTAACAGAAGTGGGTTTGGACATCCATG